CAGGTGGTGGCTTTGGGGGAGGTAATGGAGGTGGAGCTGGTGGAGGTGTAGGTGGTGGAGCCGGTGGAGGTGCTGGAGGCGGAGGTGGAGCTGGTGGTGGTGCTGGCGGAGGAATCGGAGGTGGAGGTGGTGCTGGTGGCGGGGTTGGCGGTGGCTCCGGCGGAGGTTTTGGAGGAGGAATCGGGGGTGGTAATGGAGGGGGCTTTGGCGGAGGAGGCGGCATTGGTGGAGGCTTTGGAGGCGGCAGCGGTGCAGGTGGTGGATTGGGCGGTGGAATCGGGGGTGGCGGTGGAGGAGGAGGTGGTGGTGGGTTCTAAACGGTTCGCACGAAGTTTGAAGTAAGCCTAAGCTATTTATACTCCTATCTCATGTAATGGGAATTAGTATATTCCCAGAAATAAATATTACGTAGTTTATGGATATACTATTCTCTCTCTCTCTCTCTCTCTCTCTCTCTCTCTTCTTGTGCATGTGTTCACGTTAAAAGAAGATCTACAAACGTCATACATGTGCGCAGCTATCCATACAGCAGCTGTGTGACACGATAACACTGATACGGCGTAGTCCAAAAGATCGGCCAAAGTCTGACCATTGAAGCTAAACATGCAGCCGCATAGGCATAGACAGGTACATGAAACGGCATTAGTTCAGCCACGTGCATGATAGACTTCTTTTCGAAAGACCCTCTTCAGCTGCGAGCCATATGGGTTGGCCAAATTAATTATATTTAGATTGATGAAAAAAATTCTAATCGATTAAATTTTTATTAAATTAAAATTTATCTTTATAAATATATATTGAGTTTGAAGATCTTAATGAGAGAGGTAAAATAAGTGTTCGTGAGAATGATCTTTATGATTTTTGTTTAGATTGATACGAGAGATATACAAAGCGAGTTATACTTGAATCAAGATAATTAACTAAGAGCTTCATAATTAATCTTATATAGTGAAAATTTTAATTTATTTTATTGATATAGGTGAGATTTATTTAATCATATTTATCTAACATCGGCTTTTTGATTTTTTTTTATTCGATATATTTTTTATTATTGATCTCTGGATTTTTTAGTATTAAATTTTTTCTCTTCCTCCTCAATAAAGTGGTATTAGTATCCAAAAGATTTAATGATTAAAAATTCAATAAGGATATCATCAGTTATTTTTGTTAGCTTTAATATGAAATATTTTAATGAAAGAAATAATTTCACTTGGCAAAAAAGGATGAAAGATCTTCTCCTTCAATAAAACCTAATAATAAGGGAGAAGGAAGTGAAAAAAAAAAAGCAATAATGATTGGGAGTAGGTCAAGGCAAAGTGCACGAGAATTATTTGTCTTTGCATTGCTAATAATATTAATGATGATTTTATCATGATTATTTGAAAAAGTTAGAAAAGTTTCCTATAACAAAAAATTACCTAATAAGTTGTATTTAAAACAATAATTACAAAGGAATATTAGATCAATCATTCACAACAATGTATCTCTAATTTTAAAAATACCCATATTATTCATTAATTTTTTTTGTTTATTATAATATTTTTGATCTGTCAAAAACAAACTCTGTAAAATTTACTTAAAATATTGAAGATGATATAAATAAACTTCTATTTCAACTATTCTAACTTATAAGCCTAAAAACATGATATTATAAGTAATGATAATTAAAGAGACATGAAATGATACAATATCATATCCTGCATTTACACTTTTTTTTTACATATCTTTCCTAACCAATCATTTTATTCATCGTTTATAAATATTTATTATATTTTATTTATCAAATCATAAGTAGAAAATTAAATGTAGTGATGTCAACTTTAAAAATCATCCAAGTAGCTCTACCTAGCGGTAAAAGAAGGTTTACCCTCCGCTGGAATCCGATTTAATACCGGAGAGGTTGCTTTAAAAATCAAAAATAAAGAAAATTCAGCAATGGTGAGTAGGAATCCCAAAAGTCAACTCAAAATGAATACATGATCAAAATTCAATCATTCCATTGGCGTATATCAAATACCCGAAGGAGAACTCCCCCAACAATAAATAAAGCGGCTTTATCCTATGGGATGAGTTTATAGTCTCCCAATAACAGATGGAGGCAAACTCATATCGTACTCCCAACAGCGGATGGAGTAATATCCCTCACCCGTCAAAGTGGGGTCACGTTCCTCCCAACAGCGGATGGAGGAACTGTCCCGTCGCCACGTTTGACGACCCGCTAATCTCCGAAGGGAATTGCCCTACCTGCTCTTGGTAGGGAAATAACATAATTTCACACTGATCATATCCATATCAAGATGAAATAACAAATTTAAAACATCTCTATCAAATATTATCAATATCAAATAATAGAAATTAGCCCTTAATTGACTTGAACCCTAGTTCAATCGATCCAATTGAATTTAATTTATTAGAACATAACTGAATTGATCTCTAATCCTCATTTAACTGGTCTGGAACCATCCTAGACAAGTATAATTTAGGTTAAATTAGCTTGAATAAGTCAATCAATTCGGAATCACCATGAATTGATCTAGACTAATCAAGTCTAATTTAGTTCAATTAATGTTCGGGCTCAAACCCAACAATAATATTGAGCTAGATTGAATCAGTTTATCTACTGGTCATGTGCATTACACATGACTGAACATACATCACACAAAGTTGGCTCAGCCTTGGCCCATGGACTGGTCAAGTGCGTCGTATATGACGACCCATGATGGTTGGGCTGGGTTAGCCCATAAGCCAAGGCCTGACCCATGGGTTATGGCCTGACCTATGAGTTGAGCCTGACCTATCAGCAATTTTAGTTCAATTCATATCCAATTTCATACCATAATATATATTAACTAATAATTATATAAATAAAAAATATAATAACATATTAAAAGATAGATTGAGAGATAAACTTTAATACAAGAAAATAACCTCCTAAATTCAAATAGAAATTATATTTTCAACACATGTATAATTTCAATACATTCTAGTCAAATAAATTTTAAATCATTAAGAATAACACATTTTAAATTTCAGATCAAAAAAATATCAATAATTTTAGATAACATATTTTAATCTAACAAAAACTCTAATCCAGATAAGATTAAAGATAAGTTGTGATGTCAAGAAATATCATATAATTAATATATAAAACATGTAAAATTTTAACATATTTAAATCTAAAAATAAAAACCTTAAACAAGGGTGAAAGAAAATTATAAAAAAAGTCAGCTAATAGCTTTTAATACCATAATAAAAATTTTGATATTTAAAAAATTAATAATTATTTTCAAACTATAAAACTTTCAACATTTAAAGAATCAAAATAAAAATTAAAACTTTTATTTTCAAGAAAGATAAGAAAACCTATATCTCGTTAATAGGGTGTAACTTATCGTTTCTCTCGTTGTTAGGCGTGGCTAAACGAGGAACGAAGGAGAGAGAAATCCCTCTCCTTAAATAAGAAATTTATTTTTATTTTTATATTTTATTTAATATAAATTATTTCTATTTAATATACTAACAAATATGATATCATCATAGAATACTTAATAGTTATTTCCTAATTCATATTAACAAGGAAATAGATTAAGATTTTCTAAATTACAATCATAAGTAAGAAAAAAAATAATTTCTAACTTAATTATTTGACTTAATTACATATTATATCACAGTATTTTTGATAATATTTTTTATAATATATCAATAAAATATTATAAATATTATTTAAAAAAATATAAATAAGGAAAAATGAAAACACTATAATAGTTAAAAAGGGGTAAGAAAATGAGTGAAAATTTTGATGGAAATTTTTTTGAGAGATATTTTAGATTTTTAAATTAAGAATGTAATTTGAAAAAAAATATATATTTGAAAAATACCTAAATATGAATATTTTATAGGAAAATCGACCTTAAAAAAATATGTGTTAAATTTTGATTTACTGAAATAAATACGAAAAACTGCGAATTGGGAGGGGGCATATTAGTAATTTAACATATATATTTTTTAATTTGAGCCCCGACCACTTCTGATCGCTTTCCGGTAGCCATTGTTGCTTTCACTTCGGAACTTCCCAACCCCAAATTCTCATCTCTTCGAATCGATCCGATACATATAGAAACCGAGAGGGGGTAGAGCCGTCGGAGTGCTCGAAGGGGGCGAGGATGTCGCTGCGACCGGGGACGCGGGCGGAGGTGCGGAAAAAGTCGTACAAGGCCGGGGTGGACGTCGACGAGGGGCGGCGGCGGAGGGAGGGGAACCTGATCGAGATCAGGAAGAGCAAGCGCGAGGACAGTCTCACCAAGAAGAGGAGGGAGGTGCTCCTCCAGGCCGCGCAGCAGGCGATCGGCGAGCCACCCGCCCTCTCTCCGTCTGGGGTCGACAAAAAGGTGCGGCTTTTCCTTTTTTCCGCCCTTGGTGTGACCTTGATCTGTCGTGGCTTTATCTTGGAACCTAATCTACGGTTTTACTGTACGTCCTTTTGGGTGGATCTGTCGGAAGAAAGGTTTAGGTTTGATCTGAGCGGAAACGTCTTCTTTGCGATCTTTAACGTTCCTGTTCGCATAATCGTAGTTTGTAGTTTGCTGCAATAATGTGGTTGATACCCCATTTTATGTTTTTCTTCATGGTCGGATTTGGGCTTTGTTCTTGCACTTCTTCCCTTTCCTGAAGATTCAACATTTTCTGAAAATTCGAACTTAGAGTATTATTAATGTTGGTGAGATCATCACGTAATGTAATGTCATGGATATTATTATTATTATTATTATTATTTATTTATTAATTAATTATTATTATTAATGTTGGTGAGATCATGATATAATGTAATATTAAGGATATTAACCAAACAATTATTACAGCAATAAACCTATAAAGGTGTTCATATGAAAAGCTTCAAGGTACGCTATCAACTTAAAAATTTTGTCTTGGACAATGTTCTGCTGAAATCACTGTAGACTTCTGTTGCAATTAAAAGTGGCTGGGAGATATTGTTCGACCTTTTTTCCTACCCCAAACACACGCCAATTTCTCCTGGCCTGATTTGGAAAAGGTTCTTGAACCTCCTGTTCTCTTAGGAAATGAACTTAATATCCCTAATTAACTACTCTTTGGACTTAAAATTCTTGCTCGATCTGGTCTAGGAGTCCAGATCCCCGCTGATGCATCATGATAGTGTGCCAAAATCTTGTCACCTAGTGAAATTAAACCTGCCAACCACAATGCAACCATTATAATAATAGAGCATTGGTGGTAGTTAACATGTCGGGTAAAAGAGACAGATTTCCTTTCTTGGAGGAGAAGGAAAACGATAAAAACAGAATACTACGATGCAATTAAAAAGAATCATTTCGTTCAAGAAAACCATTATAGTATTTAAATAAGAGATAAGATAAGAACACTTACAAGATATTCCCAAGTGCACACATTCTATCTTGTTTTATGAACTATGATCCTATTTATAGGATCTAGAGGTAACTACCTCACTCCATCATATCACCCATGATTGACTTAGGTGTAGGAACTACCCTATAACTTCTAAATCATGGGTCACTACCTAGAACATGATAACTGCAATGAATCAATTCTCAACACTCCCCCTTGATTCATAGTTACATACACCGATTTGTGACATGAAATAAATATGCTTTTGAATTGGAAGCGACTTGGTGAGGATATCCGCAACTTGTTTATCTGTTCCATAATACTTCATGTTATGGCTCTATTTGCTACAAGATTCCAGATGAAATGATAGCGTATCTCTATATGCTTTGTTCTTTCATGAAATGTTGGATTCTTCGTCATTACAATTGTGGCCTTGTTATCACAAAATATTTTCGTTGCTTCTTTGTATTCTTGATGAAGATCTTCTAGAAGTCTTCTAAGCCATATTGCTTGACAAGCTACTGATGTTGCGGCTACATATTCTGCTTCTGATGTCGATAACGCAGTTGTTGCTTGCTTTTTTGAACTCCAATTTATAGCTCCTGATCCGAGGCTAAAAATATTACCCGAAGTACTCTTTCTATCATCTAAAGCTCCTGCCCAATTGGTATCAGTGAAACCAAATAATTTACATTTAAAATTATGATAATACCAAATACCATAATCTGTAGTTCTAGCAATATAATGTAAAATTCTTTTAACAGCTCTAAGATGATGTTTGCTTGGGCTATGCATAAACCTAGATACTACACCAACAGAGAAGGTAATATCTGGTCGAGTATGAGTTAGATAAATCAAACCTCCAACCAAACTTCTGTAGTATATTGCATTTGTCAAACATGTATCATCTTCAAGTTTCAATTTCTCATTTACATTCATGGGTGTTATTGTAGCTTTGCAATTAATCATGTTAGATTTTTTGAGTAGATCCGTTGCATGCTTTCTTTGTGAAATAAAAATTTCATTTGATCCTTGCTTCGCTTCCGATCCAAGAAAATAATGCAGTAAACCTAGATCACACATTTCAAACTTATTCATCATACACTTTTTAAATTTTGCTACAAAAGAGTTAGATGAACCCATATATATAATATCATCAACATAAATACAAACCATTAGAATATTATATTCACCTTCCTTCTTTAGATAAAGAGTATGTTAATTATTGCTCCTCTTAAATTCATTTTGATTAAAATAATGATCAATTTTACTGTACCATGCCCTTGGAGCTTGTTTAAGCCCATAAAGAGCTGTTTTTAGCTTATACACATTTTTTCATGTCTTTTAACAAAAAAAACTTTCAGGTTGAGTAACAAAAACCTTTTCATATAAATCTTCATTTAAAAACGCAGATTTCACATCAAATTGATAAACATGCCAACTCAAGTGAGCATTTAAAGCCAAGAAAATTCTCACAGTTTCGAATTTAGCAACTGGAGAAAAAGTTTCATCAAAATCAATACCTTGTTGCTGTGAATATCCTTTTGTTACAAGTCGAGCCTTATGCTTTTGGATACTTCCATCTGCATTAAACTTTGTTTTGAACATCCATTTTAATCCAATATCTTTTTTTTCTTTTGGTAGATCCATTAGCTCTCAAGTTTTATTCTTCTCAATTGATTTGATTTTCTCATTTATTACTTTTCGTCATTCCTCTTTTTCAACTGTTTCCTCAAAAGTTATAGGATCTGAATAAACAAAGCAAATGTTGAGTCATAAATTTCTGTTAGTGATCTGAATTTTCCTGGAGGGGTTTCATTTGAGGAATCAGAATTTGAACTGCTACTGGGTGAGGTTGACGTTGAACTTGTTGGAGAAAGATCTGTCATTTGATTCTGTGGAGTGTTTAGTTCTGCTGGAATCTGAATTTGTATTACACCTTTATTGGTTTCTCAATTCCAACTTGCCCTTTAATCAAAACAATATTTCTGTTCAGAATAACTTTACCACTAACAGGATTATATAATCGATATGCTTTGGATTGTAAGGAATAACCAATTAAGATGCATTTTTCAGATTTTTTATCAAGCTTGTGATGGTTTTGTGAATTCACTAAAGCATAAGCAATACAACCAAAAATTCTTAGATGGCTTACACTTGGTTTTATATCATACCAAGTCTCAAAAGGAGTTTGATTTATAACAGCCTTTTTTGGTGAAATAGAAACATAATTTAATTCTTAAATTCTGTTTTTAGCATCAAGTCACATTTAGTTCTTAAATCATCAAAGAAAGTAAGGGTGGGAGGTGTGAAGTGCAGCTTGACTTGCACTTCCCACATAACTCTTCCACACTTTGCTTGTTAAGACAAGTTATTACAGGCACTATGATAGCTTTACACTAAAGTTTACTCATAAATTATCCATATTTTACTTTGAAGGGTTTTCCATTGTTTTGAAACAAATTAGAGCAATTATATAAATGTTGAATATGTTTTATAGCTAAAATCATATTTTTACTTTTTAATAACGGTTGATTGGTTGCTTGACTGAAAATCTAGATTTTAGCATCATACATGCATGCAAAATGATGCTTAACTTGAAATATCTGAAACATCCAAATGCCTTTGTCATCGAGACGTCTCAAGTGTATAGCCTACAACGTGTGCTCAAGCATCTAAAGGTTCTTGTATCATAAATATGTTTGCAGATTTTGCAATTCTTCAAGCTTATCATGAAACATAAGTTCTGATAAATTTGGTTGGTAAAAGATGAATATACCTTTTCCCATTAAATACATATTGATGGTTGATGAGGAGGCGATGCAATTTTTGATATTTTTGGTTCTTCTCTTTGTGTTTTCTAATGTTGTTCCTGCTTTAATGTCAGCTATCTTTGTGTCCATGGCAGATAGAAAACCTCCAGGGAATGGTGCAGGGGGTATGGTCTGAAAATCCCAATACACAATTGGAAGCAACTACTCAGTTCAGGAAGCTGTTGTCAATTGGTGTGCAATAATTGTTTTTCTTAAGGATTTTAGTAGGTATCTGCATAAGAGACAAAAGCCATATCTCTCATCCATATTTCATAACATCTTTCTAGAGCGGAGCCCTCCAATTGAAGAGGTCATTAAGGCAGGTGTTGTCCCACGTTTTGTGGAATTTCTTTCACGGCATGATCTGCCACAACTGCAGGTATTTTCATTTTTCACATTTTAAAGTGTAATGCTCTAAATATGGCAAGATTCTTTTAGTTTGTAGACACAAAACTCACTGCTATCATTCATTTGCAGTTCGAGGCTGCATGGGCACTGACCAATGTAGCTTCTGGAACTTCTGAGCACACACGAGTTGTCATTGAGCATGGTGCAGTTCCAAAGTTCATAGAACTTCTTAGTTCTCCAAATGATGATGTTAGAGAACAGGTCTATGCACTATCTCTGTTTTTCTTATGCATTATTTCTCTTTTGAAAGGTTAATTGCCTTAATAACTTCCATGATGTTATGTCAGTACTCTTATCGTTTGATACTTTGAACAGGCTGTATGGGCACTTGGTAATGTAGCTGGTGATTCACCAAGTTGCAGAGATCTTGTTCTGAGTCATGGGGCACTTCTTCCAGTAATGGCTCAACTAAATGAGTATTCAAAAATATCAATGCTGAGAAATGCCACATGGACGTTATCTAACTTATGCCGCGGGAAGCCTCCAGCACCATTTGAACAGGTCTGAGGAAGTTAAACTGCAATTATTTTCCCTTGATATGGTTTCTTGGCCATTAAATTTATACATACCACCCATCAAAATTTATTTTATATTTGCATTATTTCACTCATATGGTTTGCCAAACACTAAATATACATGTGTGCCCTTTGATTGATTTTACTTGATGGTGGCAAAAGATCTATGTAGCCGATTAGTTGGGACTTACGGTTTTGTTGTTGTTGTTTTAGACCAAACCAGCGATTCAGATACTTCGGCATCTTATTCATTCAAGTGACGAAGAGGTTCTAACAGATGCTTGCTGGGCCCTCTCTTATCTTTCTGATGGAACAAATGACAAAATCCAATCTGTCATAGAGACAGGTGTTTGTCCAAGACTTGTGGAGCTTCTGCTGTATGTGTTTCCACATGTATAATTTTTTGTCAATTCAGTTATAATATACTTTCTTCTATATTTTTGTCTTCCTCTCCTTGTATATTTTCTTATTATTTACAAGATATTGATATTCTGCAGTCATCCATCACCTACAGTTCTTATTCCTGCCCTGAGGACAGTTGGGAACATTGTTACTGGAGATGATTCACAGACTCAGGTACTTGTTAAGTCAGGCATTGAGGTGATACCTTTTAAGAAAAAAAATTGATGGTAATTGTTGAATATGGTTCAGTTTGTCAGTTTTCGTATGTGTGACTTCATGCCATTTGTTACAGTGAGTTCATGGTTGCGTATCTTCATACTCTATATATGGACTGTAATCTATACATGTTAATCCATGGGGCACCTAAATATTGCTGACTGTTCTATATGTGCCCCTTCCCATAATACTGAGACTAGATGTAAAAACATACTTGCAGCTAGTTATAGAGAAAGGTGCTCTCCCTTGTCTATTTCAACTCCTTACACAAAGTCACAAAAAGAGCATTAAAAAAGAAGCTTGCTGGACAATTTCCAACATTACAGCAGGGAATAGAGCTCAGATCCAGGTAACTACTGGTGCTATATCGTTCATCTGTGCTATCTCAAGTGGGACTTATAGGAATATAGCATGCGGTAAGCTTGAATCATAAAGTTGGTGATCATATGGTTTGAGTTTGATTTGGTCGGATTATATTGTGCTCTTTGAACTTCTAGATTTATTGTGTTACTTTCTCAAAGTAGCGCTCCTTTTTAGCTTCTTTTTGTGATCCTTGTTCAATTGCAACAGGCTGTTATTGATGCAAATATTATCAGTCCTCTGGTACATCTACTTCAACATGCAGAATTTGATATCAAGAAAGAGGCTGCATGGGCTATATCAAATGCCACTTCTGGCAGTTCCAATGAGCAGATTCAGTAAGCTTCTAATATTTCTTATTCTTGAAGATTTTACTTGCCCTAAACTTTTTGATCTTGTTCTGTCATCAATTACAGCAACCATAACAATTTTTGTTGTTATATCAATTTGTAAATACTCATCTTAGTTACTTTTGAAGTTCTACAGTCTTGTATTAATTGTGATAAGTCTCTTGACTTTGTTCTTTTGTGGTAATAGTCAAGAAGTCTGTTCATCATAATTGTGCATCAGGGATTTATTTTAATTTATATGACATGTCTTTCATCATAAACATTTTAGGAACAACGTGCTTGCATGACTAACTTCAGTGTATAAGAAAATTGCACTACTATGGATATCCACAAACCTTGTACACTGAAGTTATTTCCTCTTGCAAATGAAAAGAGTTTTTGAACATCTACAAAATTTGTTAAATTTTAATTACAGATGCATCAATCTGACTCCTGAAAGTCATTGCTTTGTTGTTTTAGGAATTTCTTAATTATATAGCTCCAAGATATCCCCAAGATACCTTTTAGGAGTCTTTTTGGATCTTCTTTTACCGTGGATTACATGTAAAGTACAGTAAACAGAAACAACTTGAGATATTGTCATATTGTGTCTACCTGAGATTTTTAATTAGTGCTGATTGACCTTAACTTTACATTTCAAGTTCAACAATCTTGTATTATTCTTGATACTCGAGCCTATTCACTTTCTTATTTTGTATCATTTTTATTTTTTTACTCTGTCGATCATAAACGTGCACAAGGGACTTTTTTTGTTTCAAATATATCTGACATTTTTTGCATGATGTAAATTGTAGAAACATGGTGCTTGCATATAAATTTAAGGTTTGGGGACATATACAGTGCAGTTTTCTTATGCAGCAAATAATTTCCACTTGCATGTATTGGTTAAACTTAATTACAAATGCAACAACCTGACTCTTGAAGTTTTTGCTTTGTCCTTCTAGGGCATTTGGTAAAGATGGGTTGCTCTTAGATATCTTCTTTACGAATTCTTTTGAAATATAATGGAAAACTAAGCATATAATTGAGTTTTTTGCAGTTATTTGGCGAGCCAGGGTTGCATCAAGCCTCTATGTGATCTTCTTGTCTGCCCAGACCCTAGAATTGTGACTGTATGCCTTGAAGGACTAGAGAACATACTCAAGGTCGGTGAGATCGAGAAGGATCTCGGCAAATGTGGAGTAAACCCTTATGCGCAGCTTATCGATGAATGTGAAGGATTGGATAAGATCGAGAATCTGCAGGGTCATGACAACAACGAGATCTATGAAAAGACCATAAAGCTACTGGAGAGGTATTGGGTCGAGGAAGAAGATGAAGCACAGGATGCACTAGGATCTACTGAGGGTGCTGAACATTCGTCCGAGGTCGCCATCAGCCAACCCTCTGTCCCTTCTGGTGGCTTCAAATTCAATTGATAAATGTGAAGTCTGATCAAAGACTAGGTTTTCCCCTTTCTTTATCTTTCTTAATCTGTGTGTAGATCATTCTTATTCAACCATCAGCCATGTAGTTGACATGCTTAGGGCTTACATCTGGGTGAAAAAAACTGAAAGGCAAATTTGTGGATGCCTACCCTTTTGATACGTTGGATTTGTGGGTTTGTTCCATCTGCATTCCAAAGAAATAAAATTACTTAATGTTTAAGAACATTTAGTAGATTATGATCTCACTATTGATTCTGTCTCCTTGTATGAATTTTTCAATTTTCTCTCTAGTGCAACGGTAAACAATATTCTGCAACCTGCTACTTCACTATTGTGTAGATCAATCATGTCTCATAGACAACCATCTTGTCATCTAATTTCATTTTTATGAGGAATCTTTGCTAATTCAGTGACTAAACCATGGGAAAAGAAGCCCATAGTTAGTAAATGTGGTAACCAGAGATTCTTATGTTTCAGTTAGATCTTTCAACCATGGAACTTGTAGGGTGCAGTTCTTGCATGTAAAATCAACACAAGCACTTCTATTTCATCACAAGAAGCAATTAAAGTTCGACTTACAGATCCAAATGACTCACGGCTGCAGCAGAGAGTAGGTAAAGGCTTCATGCTTGATGACAATGCAACCCAGCTGATGAGTGATAGATGTAGGGAGAGAGATCTTCTGCAAGATCCTCTACCAATCATTCTTATCTGCTGCTTGATAAAGCTCTCTATTGAACTACTTGATCACTGTCCTCAGCTTCAGCTGTTGCAGACTTCAGCCACCGTGCGAGGTTGGTCAAGAATGGTGTATAAACGAAGTAGCAGGTTGATGTCCAACTGACTAATCCCTGGAAGCAGAGAAAGCAATTCGCTGTGGTAATCTTCACTGTGTAATTGCAAGAACAACTCGACAATTGCTAGACTCTCACCTCACCAAAGAGTTGGACATCAGCACCAGGGTAATTCCACAGATGAAACAGTCTGAAGTTTGAAGGATTTCCAACATCAATGGAGTTGAACATGCTTCGATCACTTGTTATTTGCAGAAAAATGGAGAGAGAAACAAGCTGAATTCTCCTTACTTGATCATTGGAATCTCAGCTAGGGGGCATGCAACACCAACAAAGCAAGCCAAGGCAAATCCAAGCCATGTGCCATCCAGGAAAACCCATATGAACTCTGCCAGTGCAAACAAGGTGTAGGCTTCGACATTGTCAGCCACTCCAGCTTTGTACAGTTCAGCACTCAATTCGATGAAAGCTGCTAGTGTTCTGATGAACCAAAACCAGAGACTTGCATGAGGTTGAAGACCTTAAACACAAGGGGAAGCAAACAGCTGAGATGGCATACATCAGTGAGATTGCTGTCTTCTCCACACTCCCTACTCCAAGCTTCGATTTTGAAGGTGTTTTTTCATCCAAAAGCAGCTGCAACAGTCCCACAGTGCAATAAAATGCCCCGAGCATAGGAGGAACCTGATCGCAGGTTAAACATCATTCCATCAAACACCTTCAAGGCACTACAAAGCACGTAAGAGTAGAAGTAACAGAGAGAACAGAAGAGGGTGGTACCCAGATATTGGTGTGCAGAGGGCCAACATCAACTGCTCCATTTTGGTAGATCATAAGATTCACCCTCGAGTGTAGCCCATCAAGAAGAGGACCCAAGAAGAAGCCTGCGCCGAAGAGGGTAAGGGAAATAGAAGGCCAGGTGTCTTTAAGGCCTTTCTTACTCACCTCTTTAGGGCTGCAAGATGTCGTTTGTAGGAAGTAGTGAGATCTGGAACAGCGAAGGGAATCGAGTGGGAAGGATGATGGGTAGGTCGATGCCACCAAACTATGCATCGTCTTCTCTATCTACAGCCTCGGTTAGATGATGCTTTGCGCTGGAAAATCTTCGGCAGTTCGCTTTGATCTGAATCACTGGTAAACGCAAGGCTACCATCTTCCTACCTTTGTCCACATGATGACAGCAATCATTTTTCGTTTGATGTGAGGTAACGATAAGAAACGACCAGATCCAAGGACTACTTGTAGCCACTCCCCCAGACCACTAACAGACACTCTTCGGTCGACGTCACATCCTTGATGAAGGCCAGAAGAACTCCGTGGTCTTTGCCCCTGTGTTCGGTAAGTGTTCGACCAAATGACTCACAGAAGTTAAGCCAAGTGACAAACGCTACACTTCGATCAACGCTTGTTTCAGCTTGTAATCTGAATGACGAGATTTATAATCAATCAATTTAGTTTGATTGAATGTCCATATATATATATATA